TCAACACCTGGTGTACCTCAACAAAGTAAACCACTGGACACTAAATGTAAGACTGAAAAAATGTTCGCCAAATTAGCACTAAAGATGAAAACATTAGATACTAAAAAATAAAAAATATTAACAAAGGATTCATAAAATATCTTCTTTAGAAATTTATCTAAAAGTTTTAAAAGCTATCTATACTATCTAAACAAAGAATTAATAAAATATCTTCTTTAAAAGATTTATCTAAATCTTTTAAAAGCTATCTAACCAAAGGATTAATAAAAGAACGTTACAGGATTTACGGTTTAGGTTAAATATCAAATTTAAAAGTCACTAACTAAACAAAAGACCGCCCGTGACAAGAGGTGGAGTTGTGTCCGCTGTCCGGTTGTTGGTGGGTCATTATTCCTGACTGGGGAGGCAGAAGCCTGAAGAAGGCGGGATTTCCGCCGGGTTTGGTCCCGCCTCCAACAACACTTTTCTCTACATCAAAATAAACATCAGGAAAAGGAAAAAACACTTGAGCTTTCTGTCACTAGTCCTGCAAAACTACTTCCGTCATTCTGCCAAAAAAAATATGAACCAATGTAGATGAAAATTCGCTAATAGCTTTCTGTATAGGAAGAACAATGAGATTTCTGCAAAACTACTTCTTCCATTCTGCCTTATGAATATGAACGAAATAAAGATTTAAAAATAGCTCTATGTACAATGGATATGAAATATATAGGTCTGGGTTTGGCTAAGCTGTTAACATTATACAGTTCTTTACAACACTTAATCTTTGTCACTTAATCTGTGTGCAAACTTTCCTGCTTCCTTGTGGGGCATTTCACATCCTTACATACAGATATTTCAGTGGGCATTCGTATTGTAGCACTGTCCTGTTTTCAGCAAATAAAGACTGAATTTGTGCCTAGATTTTGAGAGGTTTGGGGAACATACATACATTTTCTTACAACCAAAAACAAGATGTCCCCAAATTTGATTCAGTCTCAAAACTGATCTCTGATCTAGTACAGCTTCATATATTTATACGAAGCACGAGAGAGGTTCTCCTCTACTTTACGTTCCAAATTTGCTGTTCTTTTGGGATATAGAGTAAAAATCCATATTCAGATACGAGTACCTTTATACTTTCTATATGGATGGAAGTATAGACCTTTCAAATTCGCATCTCAAACTTTGAAGGGTTTTTAAGAAGATAATCTTCTCACAACCAAGAATTTGGGTTCCCCGAATCAGCATCA